CGACGTATCCGAATAGTTGTACGGACGATGCCGTTACTTTACTGTAGGTAAGCCCGGTCGTCGGCGTGGAGATGAAGTAGAGTAGTGCCCGATTAAGTTCCTCGAGATCTTCTTGTTCCGGCTGTTTCAGATGCGTCGCCAGTTGGCTCGCGCTATAAGATAGATCGGGTCGGCAGGTTACTGCTGCGAATAGTAGGCAGCCGAGCTTCTGCGGATACTCCTGGATTTGCTTCTCGGGGAGTTTTGCGGAGGTGTTGCTGTTGTTCCCGTAGCGGTAGGGAGTCGGGACCGTAGTCGGCGTTAGACCGAATTTCTTCGCAACAGTGCCTGCGTATTTTCCAGCGTGTAGGTAGAACGCCGAGTTGTCTTTGACGACATTCAGTCCCAAGTACTGGGTCACTCTGTCGGACACTGTGAGTGTCAAGTCCCCTTTCAGCTCCCCTTCGAACCAGGTGGCGATGTCGGTAGTGGAACCGATGTAGAGCAGATCGTTGACGTAAACGATGAGTAGGATATACTCTCTTCCCTTCTGCAGTCGGTACATGCCTTGGTCATGCGGCGGCTGTAGGAATCCCATTTTTACGAGGCGACCGTGAAGATGCTGCTGCCAGAGCCGCGGGGCTTGCTTGATCCCGTAAAGGGATTTTATCAGTTGGCATACTTTTGTGGGGTCGTCGATGAATCCGTGGGGTTGCTCGACGAAGATCTCAGCGTCCACAGGTGCGTACAGGAAAGCATTTGCGACGTTGATTTGGCGCAGTGGTAGTTTCTTCGTGGCCGCGACGGCGAGTAGGATGCGCAAGGAGGTGTGACGGGAGACTGGGGCGAATGTTTCTGTGTAGTCGGTTCCGTATCGTTGATCGAACCCTCGTACGACCCATCGAGCCTTGAATCGTTCGATGGAACCGTCCGCATTGGTCTTGATGCGGTACACCCACTTTCCCGAGAGGACGTTCTTCCCGTTGATGCTTGTTGCAGGTACCAGCTTCCATGTATTTCGGTCTTGCAGAGCCTTTAGTTCCTTTTTCATCGCCTCCTTCCATTTCGCCTTATGTTCCCCCCCCAGAGCCTGTGACAGGGTCGTGGGCTCGCGCGGAGATGGCGGCGGTGGATGCTGGACGGAGACCCATAAGCCGAGAATTTGCAGTCCAGTGGGTGTGTGTCGAGGGGAATTTTCATTCCCGGAATAGGCTGCTTCGTCACCATCTTCTGGATCAGGTAAGAATTTTGGGCCGATGCGTTCTGAGATGTTCGTGTCGACCGGGTGAGGTGTAACGTAACCTTGGTCAGCGAAGTGGTAAAGGGTGTCGAGATTGTTGCTATCGAAGGCCTGCGACACCGTCAGTGGGATCTTCTGTGTTGGCGACGTTGTCCAGGTAATGTTGCAGCATCAGTCGTTCGTAGAAGATCACATCACGTGATGCCACTGTATTTTTGTCTTGTATGTCGAGGATTTTCCATGCTTGAAAATGTTGTGCGATGCCGAGGTGTAGCCCCCATCGTGCTCGTTGAGTGAAACGTCCTGCTCTGGCTGTGTGGGGTCTGTACTGTACCATGCAACCGAAAACCCGAAGCAATTTTGTGCTGCCCCTTTTTCGTGTCCACAGCAGGTGCGGTGATGCGTTGTTAGGGAGCGATGACGAGGATAGCAAATTGTGCAGGTGGACTGCATGGGTCATCGCGTCTGGCCACAATGCGTTGGGCAATCTCATCCCAAGGAGCAGCTTCCGCATCGTCGTCTGCAAGGTCCGGTTCATTCTTTCTGCGACCCCTTGTTGCTGGTGAGCGTAGGGTAGAGACACCAGGCGTCTCATTCCTCTCTCCGCCAAGTAGGTCCTGAATCGTTGTGACTGGTATTCTAGTGCGCCGTCGGATTGGAAACTCTTGAGCGTAGTTCCTGATTCTCGTTCAGTGATTGGGAGCCACGTCGTGAAGGGTTCGAAGGCTTGATCTCGCGTCTTGAGGTTGTAGTGCCAAACATATCTTGTTGCTGCATCGATAAAAGTGATGACATAGTTGAAGTCGGCTTCCGTGTCGTCTCGAGGCATGTTTAAGATGTCGCTGTAAACCTTTTCCATCGGTGCATATGCAGGCGCACTTGGATTGTGATGTGATGGGAAGGGTTGATGGGGAAGATCTGCTTCGGGGCACGTGAAGCACCGTGCGCGAGGTCTTCGAAGTTCTTGGCCGCTTGTTGTAAGAAGAGCGTTTCGTTCTAATACTTCGGCTTGGAATGTTTGTAGTACGGTGCTGTTTGCAGGATCTCCAAGGCGTTGGTGCCAGATGTCGTCGGAAGCTCGATGGCCGGGCGAGCGTTGGTACGTGTCGGTGTTGGAGAAGAACGCGACGACCGTGGCGGGACTTCGGCAGACTTCTCGTGTGATGGGCATAAGTTGATCTGCTTCGGTTGGCGGTCCTCGGATCGCTGGTGGTGGTACTCGGCTGGGTCCCGCTGCTGCTACTGCAGGTGATGGTTGGCAAGGGACACTTGCTGGTACTTGTCTTTCTTGTCTGATGACTGCTAATGCTCGTGTTCTCTCTGCTGCAGGTATGGTGTTGGAGTACCAGAATCCATCGGGGTTGAAGTCGTGATCAAGATCCGGCGGGTGTGTCCAGGCGGCAAACGACACAATCCCATCACTGTCGGCAGTACCGCGGTCAGGGACGAAGTCCAACACGAAGACGCCGGACTTCAGGAGAGCACGACCGATGAACAGGCCGCCCTTCCCGTGGTAAAGGCGAAACTCGTTGGAGTCTGAGTCGAACTCCAGGTGAATCCCTTTTGCCATTAGCTGGCTGACGCTTAGCAGATTGTATCCCAAGTTGTCAACGATTAAGACCTTGTTGAGTTGAAGGATGACATTAGTTTCCATTAGTTTCCATGACGTCGCGGTTGAGGCGTCGCTCTCGTTGCACGAAGCGTCCGGAAGAACACATGTGTTGACCGCAGCAGCTGTCCAAGAACCAGGTGTTTCGCCCGGTGGGTTCGGCGTTGGCGACCGCAGCGTATGTCGGGTTGACTTGAAGTCCTTGTGAGCGCGGTGGCGGGAATTCTTCTTCGTCTGGCGCGTAAGTGGGTGGTGATCCGGGTGCGCAGTTGTCGATGTGTACCATGCAGTTGATGATGTTCGGTGTCCCTTGTGCAGATGTGGAAGAACGTCTTGGAGGGCTTTCTTGAGTGGAGGCGACTTGTGGGTCTACTGGACGATAGACACGAGGACGTGTGCAGTTGACTTTGGAATGTCCGGATGTTTGACAGTTGTGGCAGAACGGCGGCACGATGGTGAGTCATCTGTTGTCGCGTTGATCTTGCTTGCCGCGTCGATTGTAGTTGTTGTCGTTCCTTCGTTGAGTGTAGAAAACTAAGTGCTGCTGCTTTCTTGGTTGTCTTTCTTCGAACAGGTCCATCTCCTGTTGTTCAGCATGAAGCTCGGCGTAGAGGTGCATATCCGAGATCCTTCCGTGGGCGCGAAGAAGCGAGCGTGTGGTTCTCCATTCTGGCCCGAGCCCGGCGAGGACAAGCGTCACGAAGCTTTCTTCAGTGATTGTACCTCCGCACCGAAGCAGGCGGTCGCGGAGTGTTTGGCATCGACTCATATACTGCATCGCCTTTTCCCCGGTCTTCATCTGTATTGTTGTCAGCTGTTGCATGAGTCTGCTTTGTGTCACGCTGTCGTTTGCTTGATAGAGACACTTGAGATGATGCCATGCGAGTTCCGCGGAGTTTCCATAGCTCCGATACGTTCTGATGCTCTGCTGTTCTTGTGGTGACAGGTTCCGCAGGAGAACTGTGTACGCCAGCAGCGACTGATACGTGAAAATTTCTTGCTCCTTTCCAGTGCCGTTGCTTGGGAATGGCAGGGACCCGTTGAAGTATCCCAAGAGATGCGCAGCCTCCATCAGCAGCTCGAACTCAAAGCTCCAGGTAAAGAAGTCGTGTCCGTTGAACGGTGAGGATGTCTGTAACTTGATTACGTGTGAAAACTGCGCCTGGAGACTCAAAATCTCGTTTGGTGTCTGTTGTGATGCAGCTGCTGTTGGTTGGGCACGGGGCGGCATGAACTCGAATGTCCCCGGTGAAGAGTGATAAGGCGCAAAGGTAGGCGCTTGATTGTGTCGCCCGAACGATGAATTGTCCAGGCTCATCGGCGCTAATCCCATGTTTCCTCCGTTGCTCTGTGTTGAATGCGCAGGTGTCCTTGTCTGCTGCTGCTGGTCGAAGTGCGACATGAAGCTGAAGAACCTTCCCATAAGGTTTGGATCCACGCTTGAAGAGGGTGATGGGGTCACCATTTCCGATGCTCTTCCTGTTGTTTCTTGAGCAGCGCCGGTCTCGGTTTGCAGTCCTGAAGTGTGCAATCCAGAGTTGCCGGGTTGAGTGTCTTGGGCGCTGGGTGAGCCCGTAGAGATTTTCTTGCCCTTGCTGTCCATGACTTGTAATCAATGAAGTCGTTTGAATTGTAGATTGTAGATAGAGCGTAGTTGCTGGGTGTTTGGTCTCTGACCAGCTCTCATACCATGTTGGGCTGAGAAAAGCCCTTAGGATCTTTCCAGAGACTAAGTCCCAGTTGAATAATGAGACTTGAGTAGTGCATCGGAAGTTGAGTAGTTGAACCCTTGTACTAGTATATGAGAACAAGTGATTGATTAAAGAAACAAGCATACAACAATATATAGAAAATAGGAGAGTAAAGCAGTTGTAGAATACAGTTGCAGGAGCGGTCTATCGAGTCGCACAGCGACTCGATTGTCGCTTCGGTTACCATTCGTGCAGTTGTAACGGTCAGTCGCAACCTCCAGTTGCGACCCTTCGAGTCCCTTTGCGTTCTTTGTTCATCCCCTCGTGTAACCTCCGTTGACTCGCGTACCCGTTGCGATCTTTCTCGAGTGTAGTGTTACACTTCAGAAACGCTCAAGTCCTTTGAGGCATTTCCAACAACGTTCTATCTCGTATTCATGTTAACAGGTGTTCCCAAGGGGACAAAAGTAGTGAAATAATTGCTCTAGGATATGTTTCCCACAACTAGGAAATGGCTCATCGTTACCACAGCTGAGTAATATGCTCATTAGCATGAGAACCCGTATTGGGGGGGAGCCAGCAGCTTACAGCAATGAGATGCTGTGTCACCACCACCATGTTTTACACAACGAGATTCTGTACAAGGAACTAATAGGATCAGACCAGAGCACAAGCTTGACATGCAGGCTGAATAGCTGAGGGATTTCACCATACCGTAAAAGAATCGATTGCTTGAGGAAATCAAAGGAGCAATCTTGAGCGGCGCTCTCAGTTGTGTGCTAGTGCTCTATGCTGTCCTGCAATTCAGGAGCAGCCGCAGGAGCCAAGCTGGCCTTGTAAGTTACATAAATGGTCCAAAAGAAAGCAGCAGTGTTGCTGGTCAGCACCTGCAGAAGAGACGGCACAAAAACGCAGCAGACATGGGGGAAAATGAGGGCACATGAAGGAGCAGTGAGGGAAATACAGAAGCAGCAGCAAGCGGAAGAGAGGGCACAAGCATGATGCTTGAAACGACTAGTGGATATCTCTGAAATTAATCATCCAGGAAATGATAGGCGTGGTCTAGATTCAGCCCTGAATCTCACCTGTAGTCTGACGGGGACGTAACGGAATGTGATGAAGTCACATATGGGCCAGTAGCAAGCACCACTTATTAGGGTTGGTAGCAGATCTCTTCTCAGGCGAGCAACAATCTGCTCCCGATTCTCGCCTGCGATATAGGAAGGAACATGCGATAGAGGAACAACCATGTGTGACACAGGGTTGATGATGCCTCACAATCCTGAGAACAAAGTAACTCATAAAAGCAGTCCATGACGCAAGTGACCTGTATGCCTAAGCATACGTCTCCTCCAAGAAAATCTCTGACAATGGATGCAAAGCACAAATGCGATGTGGGCGTGTCACAGTAGTCCCGTTACCCTACCATGAATAGCAGCAGTATCCGAGAAGAGAACGGACTTGAAGACAGGTCCTTTTAGCAGCTGATCCATGGTTACCTTGAGAGGCACACGGGAATCTGTTCCTGTTCCTGGAATAGCTCTGGCGATGCGAGAACGCCACAGTTGGACCGTGGAGCGTGGGTAACATAAGCCCAATCTCGCGGGTTCCTACCTTGAAGGGCAGCGTTGGCTGAGAAGAACACCGAGTTGAAGATAGGTGCAAACAGCACCTGGCCCGCAGCTATCTTCAGCAGCACTCTGGGAACATCCGTTCCTGGAATAACCCTGGCGATTCTGGTGAACCACAGGTGGAGTGTGGGGCCTGATAGCAAGAGACCCGCTGCTGCCATGCGAGCCGTGCGGAACGCGTCCCACTGTAGCTGCTGATCTGTACTTTCGTCCGACGATGATGCGGCGGGTGGGTCAAGGATGGAGTGAGAGAGCTTCTGAAGGGAAGAAGGAAGAAGAAGAGGGAGAGGATACAACATGGAGAGGGAAAATCAAAGGGCAGAATGTTTAATCTCTTGGTTACAGCTAATGACCTAGTGCAACTTAGAAGCTGGCGAGTACTGGCAATGGTTGAAGACGTCAAAGGACCACACGAGATGTTAAACGAGTAAGATCCAATCAGTTCCAACTGGTTTCCTCCAAGAGAGGAGCCCCAGGAAACGAGGAATCTCAGGAAAGGAGTCCCAGAAAGCACAACCATTACATCAGCGAGCACTTTGCCGCCAAAGATTACTATTGAATGTTCACGTACCTCCTGCCGTCATCTCAACGGGAATAAGCGGGCTTCTCGCGAAACAGAAGGCAGGAAAATCGAGATATTCACGAGGAGAGGGGAGCGAGAATGTACGGAATGGAGCACGTGCCTGCGATGTGACGTCAGCAGCGCCGAATATGATGGCAGCGGTGATGCTCTTAGTGATTACGGGCCGGGAGTCGAGGCATCTGAGGTACCACTGCACGAACCCGTTCAGCCGGGAATGACTCTCAGATCCGCTCAGCCGTTCGGTGATCTGCTCCAAGCCGATCTGCGGCTGCGACGGGGATCTGCTGCTTGAGTAGATCCGTCTAATAAATCCGTTCCAAGGTGAAGGACCGACGTCGTTCGGCGCTACTAAGCCGGATTGTGGCTGCGACAGCGGTCTGCTGATCGATTGGATCGGTTTCACGCTCGTTAATCGTCGAACTGAGGAGCTGACTTGGATTGTTTGCAAGATCCTCTCTCTACAGCAGCGAAGTGCCATTGACTGAATCGTTTAGCTGAGAGACGTTTGGGAAACGAGTTCTTCGTGACAAAAGGGTACGTCGACGTGACGAGATCAGCACATGATAGTGCCGTTTGGCCTCGTAACGGGGACCTTTGCAATAATATCGAAGCGATTTGAAGTTCCGCGATCAACTTCAATGTGGGTTTCTCACGAGATCGGCCTTACTATCCACGGCAAGCAAGTCTAGCTGGACAACAAAAAGCGGCCTCCAAGGCAACAGAGAGGCGTGAGATAGCTTGTGCGTGTGGGGGAACATCGAAGTTTACCGGGCTGCCGAGACGCGGCTTGAAGTGCCTACTTTTCCTGCACACAACTTGGACTTCAGTGGAGAAAATAAGTGGCGAGGATGTTGCCAGCAGCAGAGAGGGAATTGAGGCGGGTACCACACTGAACCACACTGTAGAACAAAATAACCGACCAAATATGTTCGTCCTCCCAAACAGATTCTGCCGTGTCAAATTGTTGGGGGCCGCTGCCACACCCGTAAGAACGTCGATATCATCTTGTTCACTAGAAGTTAAAGAATCTCACAACTTCTGAAGTGTTTATCTGAACCCTCTTCATAGAAAATGTTGTCCATCTACATCTTCAAGCATAATCTTTTACATGAGCCATCGAAGTAATAATAGAAACAAGCTAACATTGCTTCAAATTCACTACAAACAAGCACTCCACCCATGTCACTGCACTGCCATCCTTTCAAGCCCGGCTACCCTTCTGCTTCAAAGAACTCATCTTCATCCTCTTCCGGAACCCCCCCACCATCACCTCCCACCCCTTCCAATTCTCTTACACCTTCCTGGCGCCCTTCACTCACTTCTTCCCCACTTCCCAGCACATGCTCCCTCTTCTTCTCTCCCCCAGCCGCAACTGCTGCCATTGTGAATCCTGCATGCTCTATCACATAATGCCCCGGTGTCCCCTGTGCGGTAACAGCACCATCTGTTGATACGGTTACCAGCTGGTCTAGGCCGACGTAGCAGTCGGAGATCAGATGCACGGACAGCTGGACGGGGGTGGACGGACGAGGGAGTGAGGGGGCAAAGGCGGGAGAAGATGAGTGCGAGAAGCAAAGAAGCACATAATAAAGACAGTAGGGGAAAATGTGGAATGAAAGGGATGCTTTGGAGCACCTTAAGGAACGCGTGTGATGATAACCTTGTCACACAAAAAGGAGGAGCAAAAGGAGACCTGTTGAGCAACATAAGGAGCGCAAATAGGATATAGATAGCTGTCGACGGAAACAAAAGTACAGCAGTTTACCGGATACCTGTTGCTATGATGCCGGAGGCTGTGCATGTGAAGGCGGGTTGCGAGCCTGTGAGGAGTGGAAGGAGTTGAGCTAGCTCAGGAGACTACCTGTTTCGTTGAGGCCTGCAGCTCTGGTACGTGGAGGCGAGTGGTGAGGCGGTGAGTGAACGAGACACGCTTGAGAGCGAGCAACGAAGAGTTGTCTGCAGCTGCTAGCACCACCCACCACCCCTCCTCCTTCACCTGCAAGGGGAACCCCAAGAGGCATCACCGGGGAAGGGGGAAGAGTGTTTTAAGAATCGACTCTGCCGACAATGCACATTCCGTTGCCTACACCCAGAACGCAGCACTGTGAGACGCACGCTCATGGAGTGACTAAGCAAGTAGCAGCGTAGTGCCTTGGGGAAGCAAGGGTGTGCTCGCACGCAGTGAGTGTGATTCGCAGAGGGGTGCATGTGCACACGGAGTGCGCTTCCAGCCCCAGCCGCAACACACCTTGGGGAAGAAGGGCGTGTGTGCTCGCAGGGAGTGCGGCTGGTACGGTCGAGAGCGACGCAGCGACACTTCCACCACCACTGCTGCCGTTGACGCTGAAGGAGCAGAAGCAGACTTGGCTTGTGACGGCATCATTCGCACTGACACGGAGACCCGAGGCAGCATTCCCAGAGCCTGAGAGACAGGGGGTTGGGGAAAGCCCAGAGATGGGGATGGGGGGCGCAGCAGGAGGGACCAAATAAATGGAGGGCAAGGGCAAAAGGAGAAGAAAAAGAGGAATTGGGGAGAACACGGAACGGAACAAATGACAGATGCGGTGAAGAACAGCGGAAAGAAAGAACACGGAAGAAATAAGCTCTGATGGCAGAGTGGAAAAGGGGGAGAACCAGCCAGAGAGAGGACGAAATCTGATGCAGGCTGATGCAGGTCAGCATGAAACACAGGAGCTTGGTGCGTTCCAGAACAGAGCAGCTAGATCAGTGCAGGTGCAACCTGAGGCGTTCCAAAACATGGCTGAAAAAATTCGCCACACAGGGGGTGCGGGGTGGGAGGAGAGCGTTCTGTGTTGATGCGCGCATCAAACAAGAAACTCACACACCTGGAGGAAGTTGGCCACACACCTGGAGGAAGTTGGCCACACACCTGGAGGAAGTTGGCCACACACCTGGAGGAAGTTGGCCACACACCTGGAGGAAGTTGGCCACACACCTGGAGGAAGTTGGCCAAACACCTGGAGGAAGTTGGCCACACACCTGGAGGAAGTTGGCACGAGCAGAGGGCGAGAGGTGGGAGGAGAGCAGCTGGCGGAGGTGGTGCGGCGAGGCAGTCAGCAGGGAGGATAGTGATGCCAGCCTGGCAGCTGACAGGGCCTCCTCCAATGAGGGCGTGACATGTGGCAGCATCGCAAGGGGCGAGCCGAGGTCGTACCAGACAGCCTGAGAGAGAGGGGCGAAGGAGATGAGAGAGGAGGGAGGGGTTGAGAGAGGAGGGAGGGGATGGAGAGAGGAGAGGGGGATATAAGGCCAGCTTGCGTGTAAAGGATGGGCAGGCTGGATACGAAAACGGGTCTAGTTTTGAGGCACCATCAAAACACGAGTGCACATGCGAGAGGGTTGGGAAGGAGGGGGGAGAGGGGGGGTAGTGGGGGGAGAGGGGGTAGTGGGGGGAGAGGGGGTAGTGGGGGGAGAGGGGGTAGTGGGGGGAGAGGGGGTAGTGGGGGGAGAGGGGGTAGTGGGGGGAGAGGGGGTAGTGGGGGGAGAGGGGGTAGTGGGGGTAGTGAGGGGAGAGGGGGGGTAGTGGGGGGAGAGGGGGTAGTGGGGGGAGAGGGGGTAGTGGGGGGAGAGGGGGTAGTGGGGGGAGAGGGGGTAGTGGGGGGAGAGGGGGTAGTGGGGGTAGTGAGGGGAGAGGGGGTAGTGGGGGGAGAGGGGGTGGGCAAACAGATGAAGTGTCTGATGAAGAATTGAGTATTTTTTCTGTAGAATAGTATGATGACCTTCACCTGAATCAGGAGACCTTCACCTGAATCAGGAGACCTTCACCTGAATCAGGAGACCTTCACCTGAATCAGGAGACCTTCACCTGAATCAGGAGACCTTCACCTGAATCAGGAGACCTTCACCTGAATCAGATGACCTTCACCTGAATCAGGAGACCTTCACCTGAATCAGGAGACCTTCACCTGAATCAGATGACCTTCACCTGAATCAGGAGACCTTCACCTGAATCAGCATCTGAGTGAGGCGCATGTTCAAGAAAGCCGGCTGCAGCCTGCCAGCTGCAGTCTGCCGGCTGTAGCCTGCCAGCTGTAGCCTGCCAGCTGTAGCCTGCTGGCTGCAGCCTGCCAGCTGTAGCCTGCCGGCTGTAGCAGCGGTGTCGGTCATTACCTGCAGCACCCGCATCGTCTGACCAACACACTCTTTACAACATGCATCGTCTTAGATAGAATATCTCTCAGGCACCTCTCACCTGAATCACCATCTGAGTGAGATGCATTGTCAGCAGGGAAGGCTGTAGCCTGCCGGCTGTAGCGGCTGTGTCGATCATCGCCTGCAGCACGCGCATTGTCTGGTCGAGCACACTCTTGAGGTCCGTTTCATAGTCGCTCATGGGCATGGCCAGGCGGGAGAAGTGCGCCTGGAAGGAAGCGATGTGTGCAATGGGAAACACCATACAAGAGAGGTAGTGAGCCTCCCAGCACACTCTTGAGGTCGTCGCACAGTCACTGATGGGCATGGGCAGCCGGGCGAGATGTCTCTTGAGGCGCCTCAAAACTGATGGGCATGGGCAGATGGGCGAGAGGTCTTTTGAGGCGCCTCAAAACTGATGGGCATGGGCAGACGGGCGAGATGTCTTTTGAGGCGCCTCAAAACTGATGGGCATGGGCAGACAGGCGAGATGTCTTCTGAGGCGCCTCAAAACTGATGGGCATGGGCAGACAGGCGAGATGTCTTTTGAGGCGCCTCAAAACTGATGGGCATGGGCAGACAGGCGAGATGTCTTTTGAGGCGCCTCAAAACTGATGGGCATGGGCAGACAGGCGAGATGTCTTTTGAGGCGCCTCAAAAATGATGGGCATGGGCAGACGGGCAAGATGCGGCCAAGAGGGTAAAAAAGGTTATTTAGAGAGTCTAGTTTTGGTACAGCTGAGAGTGCGTTTGAGGCGCCTGAAAAGAAATTTAGAGAGTGGCCCGAATGGTACAGCTGAGAGCATTGCTGCATTCACCGCACCGCACCACACGCCTAAGCTCACCTGCAGCAGCAGCTTGGTCTCGGTGTGCGGGTCGTCGTACATGTGAGGATGGTCGAATCAATGGTCATCTCAATTTGAGCAAAAATAAGCTGGCAGATAGGCTCACCTGGGACAGGCTCACCTGCAGCAGAAGGATGGTTGATAGGTTCACCTGGGACAGGCTCCCCTGCAGCAGCAGGTTGGTCGATAGGTTCACCTGGGACAGGCTCACCTGCAGCAGTAGGTTGGTCGATAGGTTCACCTCGGACAGGCTCACCTGCAGCAGCAGGTTGGTCTTGGTGTGCGGGTCGTCGTAGGTACGATGGTCCACCTTCCACCGCACATGCTTCGCCAGCTCAGCGTTGACAAACTCCTGTAGCGGCCAAGAACACAAGAAAGTGCACAGGAAAGTGCAAGGAAAGTGCAAAGGAAGGTGCAAGGAAAGTGCAAGGAAAGTGCCAGGGAAGTGCAAGGAAAGGAGCAAAAAGAAGAGTTATGCTTGGCCAAAACTTCAGAGAGGAGAAAGTTGGAGCAGGGAAACCGAGATGGACAAGAGGGGAAGTCCATGCAGCACTGCCATACGAGCAATAAGCAAATAAACTACCCCTCTGCATAGAGGGTTAGATCCGGCAGTGCCTTGGAAGAAACCTTGCACTGCATGCATTGCACACTGCCCCTGCACATTTCCCTCCTGCTCGCCCCATTCTGAAATGCGCAAGGGCGGGGTGTGCAAGGCAAGGCATGATGCATTGCGCCCCATTCTGCCTGATGGAGAGCTTTCCACACTCAGCAGCAGCACACAGCACCTGACACAGAGCAT